GTACTAACAGATAATTTTTTTTTAACTTTTCTTCTCTTGCCTGCAGAATGTGCCTGAAGTTGATGCAGAAGGTTTCTGTATCCGACCAGAAGTGAATGAAAACGATATCCTTTTGATTTGTCTGGCTGTTGCTCCTGCAGCGGGTAGAACCTGCCTGCAGTCTGAGGCCCGGCCCAAATAAAGCCCGATGGTTTTTATAATCCCTCGCTGAGCTCCTCTCCACGTCTTTCTTTTAATTCTGCTGTTTTTCCTCAACGTGTCTGCTCACATGCCAAAGAAAACTCCTTCTACTCGTCCAGCGACTCGGAGGACGACGACGAGCCCAGGAAGTTCCACGTGCAGATCAAACCCGTTCAGCCCAATAACGGCACTCATCAGAACCGAGCCAACATCGACGAGCTGAAAGCCTCCATCGGAAACATCATCCTCTCCCCTTCGGCCTCGGTATGCCTGCAGGAGAACAGAGGAACCTGTTGATTCTGTGCTGCAGTTGCACTGCAGGAACACTAGAGGGCAACAGGAGAACATCTAAACTCCAACAGTTTACATTAGAAGTGTTCCAGGTTTGACTTGGTTCATTCGTTTCAGATGAATTTAATAACACAAACCTTTTCATGTCTTAATTTCACTCTTTTGGTCATTTTTTTAAATTGGCATTAACAACTGTCTCTCACACACACACACACTTACACATAGCAACACACAAAAACCCTAACTTCAAATCCACAATTAAATTAGGAAAATAACAAAAGAATGAACTCAATATTGTATGAATTATCTCACATAGTGTAGTCTGAAACATTAATCATTTCATCCATTTTTGAACTTATACAGAGCCTGAACACTGCTGCTTACTGGAGTCCAGTTTCTCTATTTAACAGGAAATAACATTTGAGCAGTGAAGCAAATAAACAATATCCTTAAACACAGTATTTATACCTCTCACTTATTGAGCTTTTTATTATTTCTCTTCAGTAATATTTTACATTTCAGCAGATTTACCTAAAGTCAGTTCATCATTGAAGGAAGTTACTTTGATTTTTCACAAGCTTTGACCCTGTTTCCTCTGAGTTCACACTTATTTTCTCTGATTTATTTGTTACAATCAGAGTTGTAAAGTAACTAAGTACAAATACTTTGTTACTGTACTTAAGTAGAAATTTTGGTTATCTGTACTTTACTTGAGTAATTATTTTTCAGCGTACTTTTTACTTTTACTCTTTACATTTTTACACATTTATCTGTACTTTCTACTC